AGGGGCGTGTAAAGCGGGGTGATTGCATGCATGTGGAGGCAACACCGGGTGAGGGGACGTGTAAAGTGGGAGTGCTTGCATGCGTGCGGGTCCGTGTCGCATGTGTGTGGGGGCTTGATGGGGCGATGGGGCGAGTTAAGTGGGAGGGCTGGCATTTGTGCGTGTGTTGGTTGCATGGGGCGAGGGAGCGCGTGAAGTGGGAATATGCGTGCATGCGTGTGCAGGCTACACAGGGCAAGGGGTCAAGTATGGTGGGAGTGCTTGCATGCGTTCGTGCTTGGTTTGCATGGAGCGAGTGGGCAAGAAAAGCAGGGGTGCTTGCATTCGTGTGTGGGTTGCAGGTTGTGAGGCGGCGAGTAAAGTGGTGGTGCTTGAAGGCGTGCATGTATGGGTTGCATGGGGCGTGCGTGTGTGGGTTGCATGGGGCGTGGGGGCACGTGAAGCAGGATTGCGTGCGTGCATGCATATGCAGGTTGCATGTGGCATGGGGCGAGTAATGTGGGAGTGCTCATGCGTTCGGGTTACATGCTTGTGTGCTTGGGTTGCATGTGGCGAGGGGGCGCTTGAAGCGGGAATGTTGAGCGTGTGTGGGTTGCAACGGACGTGGGGGCGAGTACTGTGAGAGTGCTGGCTTGCATGCGTTCGTGTGTGGTTTGCATGGAGTGAGGGGGCATGAAAAGCAGGGGTGCTTGCATTCGTGTGTGGGTTGCAAGGGACGAGGGGACAGTCAAAGTGGGGGCGCTTGCATGCGTGCGTGTGTGTGTGTTGCTGGTGGCGAGGAGGCGTGTGAAGCGGGAGTGCGTGAATGTGTGTGGGGGCTACAAGGGCGATGGGGCCTAGTAATGCGGAGGGTACACATATGTGCGTTAAGAGAACTGGCCGTGTGTGGGGGCTGCAAGGGACGAGGGGACAAGTAATGTGGGAGTGCTTGCATGCGTGCGGGTCCGAGTTGCATGGGGCCGTGGGACGAGTAAATTGGGGTTCTTGCATGCGTGCGTGTGTGGGTTGCATGGGGCGAGGGGGGCGTGAAGCGGGAGTGCGGGCATGCGTGTGTGGCTGGTGTGTGTGCTGGAATGGGACGAGGGGGCGAGTACTGTGAGAGTGCTGGCATGCCTGCGTGCGTGGGTGTCATGCATGGGGTGAAGGGACGAGTAAAGCGGGGGTGCTTGCATGCATGTGCGTCTGAGTTGCATGGTGCGGGGGAGGCGCGTGAAGCAGGATTGCGTGCATGCGTTTGCAGGTTGCACGGGGCAAGGGGGCGAGTACTGTGGAAGGGCTGGCATGCGTTCGTGCTTTGGGTTGCATGGATTGGGGGGGCGAGGACAGCGGGGGTGCCTGCGTGCGTGTCTGGGATGCAGGTTGTGAGGCGGCGAGTAAAGTGGGGGCGCTTGCATGCGTGCGTGTGTGGATTGCATGGGGCGATGGGGCGCGTGAAGCAGGATTGCGTGCATGCGTGTATGTGCAATTTGCACGGGGCGAGGGGGCGAGTATTGTGGAAGTGTCGGCATGCGTTCGTGCTTGAGTTGAATGGAGTGAAGAAAATGGTGGCGAGTAATGCGGGGAGGAATGCGTGTGTGGGTTGCACGGGACGAGGCGGCGATCAAAGTAGCGGTGCTTGCATGCGTGCGTGTGTGGGTTGCAGGTGGCAGCGTTTCTATCTTACTTCGTTTTTTCGAAAAATTTCTGAAAATGGCACATTTCTTAAGGCGGATAATGACCGAGATCGTCAACGATCTTTGAGCTTTTCTAGGGTTGGTGATCGTGGATCCCCACGATGTCAAACGTGCTTAAGATCGTGGGATCGACGCTCACATTTTTGCCTCGTGGTCCCAAACCCGGAGCCGTAGGCACGCACCGAGCCTGCCCAATTCACTTTTTCCCCAGGCTCCAATGGCACAGTTACCTGGTTTTGTGGGCTCGACCTCAGTCTTTTGTTGTCGGGTTATGGCTAGAACGACATAGAGCGGCATAACAGGAAAACAGGAGCCTAAATGTTGGGAGGAGTAGCTTGTGCATGGCAGGGTTTGGGCACATACACCGTACAAGTATCGGGAACATTGCATAACACCCAACTACGGGAAAACAAGCAAGGCAACTCGATACTAACTTGCTGGACCCCTGACCTCCCATGCAAGCTGATTATGCAAGCTGGTTGGCTACATGGAACTTCCACGCCACACATGGCCAATGCACGTACACTGCTGCCTACACCTTTGCTTATTGTTCCTTCCAAACCAAAGCTGTGAAGTGATGAAGAGGTAGGGGGACACGTGTCAACACGCGTACATGGCAGTCCTGCATGCTGGAGGACCCCTGGGAGCAGAATGGTCCCAGGGGTCTTCTAAGGCGCAGACAGTGCAGTGGTGCAAAGGGCTGCATTGATATGGCTTCCCTTGCTTCGTTGTCGAGCACCGCAGAGGCCAAGACCAACCTGGTTCTTGGGGGAATACCTCTACTAGTCTTGGCTGGCATAGTTACCAAGGGCGTCGTACATGCAAGAACTGCGACCATGACTTACACGACGGCAATGCCTATTAGCTTTTGTGTTCAACCTTATGTAATAAGCTTGTTCATTACAACATTATTTTGCAACTGCGAGCACAGACTCGCCTTACTTGTGGTTTGGCGGGAACATTTATGTTAAGCGATTTGCTTGCGACTTGGAATTCCGAAGCAAACAAGCAATGTTTAAGAAGCTCCGTATAAAGGCTGGGCTGAAATGTGGATGTATGCGTCTTTCAGGTGGGCAAGCGCTGAATGCTGTGAGCGTTACAACGACGCCCAGAACGCGTGTCTTAATCGACGCCGCGCCAAGTGTAAAAGCATGCAATGCTTACAACAATCGGCTGTCGCCCCTGCTGCCAGGCTGCCTTGTAAGGAAAAGCGGTGGCGGACCTTAGCATGATAGCCGTGGTGGTGCGGGTTGCAATTACCGTTGGGGTTAGCTAGCAGCAGCCGGGATCCGTCACGGCCAAGGTAAGTGGGGTGATGAGGGGGAAGGTCTTTCCACTTCTAGTGGCTGGAGGCACACTACCACCGCACAAGTAACCACCGTGGGCGCGTGAGTAGGTCGGGGGGGAGACCCTTCCCCCAAGAGAGCAAAAGGGTTAAGGCTAGCAGAAGCGCTGCGCTACACTTTAGGGTACGGGCACGTCGTGAATTGGGCCCTTCCATTAGGCTGCTGTACTACCGCTGGTCAAGGCACGAAAACCTAGCAGCCCCTTTTCGAAAACGGTTTTCGAAAAAATAGGCCCTTGGGAGGCCCCGGATCGTATACGAAAAATTTCAGGGGTCGAACGTGAGGGCTGTCGAAAAAAATGGGCCTAAAACGTCACTTATCGTGGGGTTCCACGATCGCCCTGGAGGGAAGATAGAAACACTGGCAGGTGGCGAGGGGGTGTGTGAAGTGGTAGTTCGTGCATGTGTGTGGTGGCCACAAGGGCCGATGGGGCCGAGTAAAGCCGGGGTGCACAGATGTGTGTGTGGGCTAAATGGGACAATTGGGCATGAATGTGATAGTGCTTGCATGCGTGCGTGTCTGAGTTGCATGGGTCAATGGGGCGAGTAAAGTTGGGATGCTTGCATGCATGCATGTGTCACTCCCAGAAAGGCTCTTAGTTGAGATGGTGCTCAAACGCTTGAGATTGATTGAGTTGAGTTGAGTCTACTTGAGCTTGGTTGAGGCTGCTCTCAAGTGGTTGAGTTACCATACTCTCAAGGAACCTCAACCAGAAAAAAGCCCCGCCCGGTGTAATTTGCTACGTTGAGTATGTAAGACCTATTGAGCACAATTGCTCAAACAAAGTTAAGCTCAATATGACAATGAATGTATATATATAAACAGTTATGAGCTTGTCCTTAAAGTAACGATGCCCTAGTTACCCGGCTGTCCTTGGCCTATGACGGACTTAGTTTGAAAGCCGCCCTATGATCCATGTGTCCGCTACGTGCCTGCACAACATGCCCCGTTACTGGTAAGCCTTGCTCTTTTACTTCACACAACACACAACCTTCTTAAGCTCACGTTACATAGATACTGTCTCTCGTTACCGAAAGCATTGCCTCAATCACCTCGCTCTCCCAACACCTCGACTACTTCTTACAAGGCATTCCAACACTAGGAAACGAATTGCGATGAGTTAACTGTTATACGTTAAGAAGCGTGTGTGATGTCGAACACCAAGCCACCATGGCCGCGTCTGCTTCGCGACGGGCTCGCTGCTCAGCATGCAGATGGCTCATTCTCGTGTACTCAATGCAATAAAGTATTTCACAGCAAGCATCTTTACAAGCACAAGTGTTCCTTAGTCCACGTGCCGCTGGAGCCGTCATGTGTGGACAGCGACCTAACATGCAACACAGATTATGCTTCCTGCTTGGATTTACTAGGCGATGCAGTCGCAGATAAGCTTCTTGCATACCATCATGACCTGGCGCAACGCTCAGTCCCGATGATGGCGCGCACCAAAGACCTCAGGGCCGTGCTCATACAGCTGCGCATACCATTTGCCGATGCTGTTTTCCCACAAGGTGAAACGACTAATACATCCGCTCTGTTACTCTTTACGGTTTTGCGCCGTGCTTCAACTCCATTCCTTATGTGTTTCCACAGGCCAACCCTCCCCGCCGCCTGCTGCTGACAACTCGCCTCTTCCTAACAGCCCCATGCTAGTGGAGACACGCTCCCCGCAGTCCCAGCCTTCACCGATGGACGTCAACAGCCCAGAGGTAGAAATGCGCTCTCCCGCTAGCGACCCATCCAGCAGTGCGTCCCCCAACGTCTCATCCACTTCTAATAACGGAAGCGAGGCCGAAAGCAGTGGTTATGACGACCACGGTGAGTGCGACTGGTACTGTACATGTCTTCCTTGCAACCCGGGCACCTTTATTTCCCATGCATGCATCATGTCCCTTGCGAACTCCTGCCCTTACCGTTCGAAACTGCTGTGGCAATGCACCATAGGACCTAACCTCCCCTTACCGTATGTGCCCTCCAACAGGGGCAAGCCATTCTACTGTTAGCGACAGCGTCGACGGGGATGGCAGCGAGGATGGCTCGCATGGCCGCAGCAGTCCCGGTAGCATGCAAGGAGGTAAGGAACAGCCAGTGCGGTTTTGAACTAGGACGTGTCTCGTCTCCATGCTCGTAGAATCTCATGGCATTGTCGTACTTAGCAGGAGCTAGCCATTCCACGGGTACCAGCGGCGGCAGCGGCAGCAGAGGTGGCGACAGTGGGCCGGACTCACTCCATGACGACAGCTTGCTTGGCGGTGCCAGCGATGGTGGGGATGGCAGTGATGGCCGCAGCGACCATGCTGCTAGCATGCTGGATGGTAAGTGGTCATACTCCGGTGCCTGTCGGGTTCATCCTCTTTACGTGTTCAACGTAACCCGTGTTTCCTACATGTCCAGAGGATGACCCGAACACGCTGCCTGGAGAAGACCTCCTCGACCAAACCGGAACTGACGACGACGGTAGGAAACCAATACCCATCGCATCCGCACCTCCATGCCTATGTACGCCATGAAGCCGTACTCTCAAACAGCCGTTCTCCTGTGACCGCAAGTTACTGACACCTAATTCTCACACACATTAACACGTCGCAGGTCTTTCTTCCGTCAGCAACCAGTCGGACGACCTCAACCTGCCAGGCGAGGTCGACCCTTACGCGTACATTCGCAGTAAGTTCACGTGCAAACCATGTGTCAGGGGGCATTGCAACCGTTCTAGTCCAAGTCGAATTGCTCAGTGTCGTACTTATTCTCCAAGCCCTTCCCTGCGTGTACCCAATTCCGTCCTAAGCAACCTGTTCCCACGACCGCAGGGATTCTGGGTCTTGATCATGCGCCGGAGGCGGGGGCTGGCATCGAAACCCACCCCGCGGCTGCAGCCACTGGAGGGGACCGCTGTGCGTGTGGTTGCGGCGGCCCACCAATTAAGCCAGGCGGCATCAGCTGGTTCCGCCACGGCCTCGGTCTCCCCGTTTGCAAGGGTGTCGATAGAGACGGTGCGCCAAACCCTAGTACCGTAACTACCCGCGAGTTCGTCACGGCTCTCCTGCAATTCCATATGCGGAACCACATTCCCACAACGGTCATGGAGACCTTGCTACGCTTGTTTGCTAGCGTGGTCCCCGGTCCGCACTTCATTCCTCCTTCACTGTACATGCTGTCACAGCTAGCCGGTGTCCCTGACTGGCACCAGTTCCAGCAGCACCTCTGCTCGACCGAGGGTTGCCCTGGCCATGTATTTGAGCCAGAGCCAGATCCCGCCAAGTGGGAGCAGCTACGTGACGAGTGCTGCCCACACTGCCAGACACCGCGCTTCAAGTCCGTTTACCTTGGAGGTGAGCATAGTTTGGCTGTTTCAGACTCGTATACTGATCTCCAGCACCAGCAGGCCTCTTGCCCCCTGCTTCGTACCCTGCTGTTTGCTCACCGGGAACTATGGCGAACCCGTGCCTGCTTACCTACTGCAGGCAAGGAGCGTCTTGAACCCCGGCGGTGGTCCATCGACTTCGGCCTGGAAAATGTTATCCGCGAGCAGTTTTTCCAGTCCGAGCTGTACAACCAGCAGCGCGGGCGATGCCGGGATTGCGGAGAGGACAGCAATGGCAGCAGCTACTACAACGGTCAGTCCCTAAGCGACTCCAATTCATTGTATGCATCGGTGCCTTCAACCCTACCCTGGGCTTAGCTCGCATGAATCGTAACATGCACGCAATGCTACATGCATGCAACACTACATGCGCCACTGCCCTTGTCGTTGCGCCTAGTTGTGACGCAGCTGTGTCCCTCGGTGCTGTATCCCCACCCTTTACAGCTCCGGCCTTTCGTAAACTGGCTCTCGCCACCGACCACGAGGCCCAGAAGGCGACGGCCTCGACCTATGACCTGTTCTTCGACTTCCTAGAGCCCTTTAAGGGGAGTCCTTACACTCTGGGAACGCCTCGTGTTCGTATATTCGCCAAGGTTCGTAAAGTATACGAAATGGGCTATACGAACGCCAAATGGAGCGTATTTCACATTCGTACCAATCCCTTATCCCTTTACGAACATGCATATACGAAAGAATGTACGGTTGGGCGCCTTAAGTGAAACTTTGGCGCTAGGTTACTGGTTTCATACCTTCTACTTGACACGTGACTTTTGGGCATCAAATCCACCCGTGTGTGTATGCCATGACATTCGTATTTAAGCGTTCGTAAAGGGAATTTGCAGATACGAAGGTTACATGTATGCACCTGAGGGTTGCCAGTGCCGGCACCTCATACCGTACGTGTGACAATCCGTTGCATGCAAGTGTATACACGAAGGGAAACAGCATGGCGGGTGACTTCCAGTTGTCAACTCAAGACGAAATTCGTAAAATGTATGAAGACAAACGCCACTGAATGGGTGCGCATATTTTTCGTATTGATTACGTAGACGAACGCGACCCCCACATGAAAGCCCACTTCACCCCTTCGTGTCAGAAACACAGCGATATCGCCCTACTTACCATTCCAGCCAATGCTGCTAAGAAGTGAGCATGCTTACAGTCCATTAAAGAAGAGAATCAAGATCATAACATACGAACTTCGTCGCTTGGGTTAGAAAAAATACGAAGTTCTTTAAATTCCCATGTTTAACATTCATATCGAAGTGACCGGACTTCTTCCACAAAATACGAAGCCAATATTGGTCATTTCAAAGAAGCAACGACGCAGATGCAATCTGCAGTACATAGGCAAGAAACCCTAAACAAAGTTGCCTCCGCCTGTACGGCAGCAAAAAGGCGGCACCGGGCAAGGGGCTAGCGAAGGGCAAGGGGAAGGTGGCGGAGGAGGATGAGGAGGAGGAGGAGGAGGCACTTCACAACTTCTCTGATCCGGATACGGAGGAGGATGACGACAGCGAAGCCGAGTGATGCAGCTGGATGGGGGGGAGCACTTATGTTCCATCAGTGTGCCATTTTAGGTTAGGGGAAGGAGTAAAATAGATTTACGTTGCATGTTGCTTGTCCTACAATCCTGATGAAGTTGCGTTGGACACGTGGAGTGCCATTTAAGGTTACGGGAAGGAGTCAAATAGATTTACGCTGCATGTTGCTTGTCCTACAATCCTGATTAAGTTGCGTTGGACACGTGGAGTGCCATTTTAGGTTACGGGAAGGAGTCAAATAGATTTACGCTGCATGTTGCTTGTCCTACAATCCTGATGAAGTTGCGTTGGACACGTCCTTAGGATTAGGAGTTGTGGATATACATCCTTCTTACTGCGGCCAGCATCCCTTTTGTTGGTTGTGAACAGTGAGCCCGGTTTTAGACATCTAGGTGACTTGATGCTGTCCCTTATTGGATATTCGTTGCTTGTTGGTATGGTTAGCTTGCACCTTTCTACAACACTTATGAATGCATAGGAAAACACCTATATTGCTGGAGGCCAACATGGGACAGCAAGTGTTCCAACAAACCAGGTTTCGTGGTCTGGGGTTATGAAGTTCGTTCTTTAAGCAATGCTAACCTAGTTTTACCTGCCTTCTGATACCATACGAATGTTGTATTTGTAAGGTGAATGGGTACGAAGCTCCTGCGGTTGACATAATACGACGTTCATATCAAGCGAACGGTCTCCTTCCAGAGATATACGCACTCCATAAACGGCATACAATACGAAGATCGTATGTAGTGGACGGAGCTCTTCCATGTCAGTACGAAGTTCTTCCTGTGCATGCAATACGAAGCTCGTATGTAGTGGACGGAGCTCTTCCACATCGGTACGAAGTTCTTCCTGTGCATGCAATACGAAGCTCGTATGTAGTGGACGGAGCTCTTCCATGTCAGTACGAAGTTCTTCCTGTGCATGCAATACGAAGCTCGTATGTAGTGGACGGAGCTCTTCCACATCGGTACGAAGTTCTTCCTGTGCATGCAATACGAAGCTCGTATGTAGTGGACGGAGCTCTTCCACGTAGGTACGAATTGCGTATAATGTGCCTTCAACACTTGCCACTGCGGCATTCTGTCATTCATACTATGTTGCCCATCCTTAGGACTGCCATTTTGTGTAGCTAGCCTGTGAACCATAAAGTAAACGAAGCTCGTCTTCTGCAATATCTGTTCGTAAATGACCCTTCGTATGCAGTTTTCTCATCCTTCGTTCGCACTTAACGAATGGTAACTAGAGCAAACGAACTTCATTTTACGACCCAATTACGAACTTCGTATTGGGGCCTTCGTAAAAATGGGCAAAAAAAACGTATACGTAAACGAATGTTTCCATAACCCCAAAATACGAATACGCATACGAAGATTTAGGGGGGGGTATTCCCCAGAGTGTTACTCGGTCGGAGTGCTTGCGGTTCGTGCGTGTGATGTGGCTGCCAGGGACAAGGGGAAGTCGCAGTTTGTAGCCATATTATCCATCATACCCGGCCCCAGGCAGCCTCCCGTACTCACTCCCTACCTCACTCCCACAATAGACGCGTTCCGCCATCTATTGACAAACGGGATGGGCGTCACGCAGTCCTGGCGAGACAAGCTCAGCGGTAATGTCGTCAGCGAGTCATTCGTACACAGGGGCTTTCTATCCGCCGTACTGGCCGACACACCCGCGCGCATCAAGTGCGCCCTTCTCGCGGGTGTCGGTTCCTACATAGGCGCGTGTAGCTACTGCTTCTTCCAGGGCACGTATGTCCGCACGTATGTCGCTTGGTTAACGTGTCTTGTAGTGTTATGTCATCTCATTCGTTTCTTGCCTACCCATTTCTTGATCGTAGGGTCCACGGAGGACCAGGAGGGGCGGCAGCAGCAGGAGGGGCACAGGGAGCGGCAGGAGCTGCGGCAGGAGCTGCGGCAGGAGCAGGGTGGGCGCAGGGAGCGGCGTGAGCGCGAGCAGCAGCAGCAGGAGGAGCGCAGGGATCGGCAGGGGCGCGCTGGGGGTGGTGGGGGACTGGGCAGGATTGCCGAGGTCGAGGAGGATTTGGATGAGGAGGAGGAGGCTGTCGGGAAGGGGACTGGTGGAGTGCTGGGTGACCGGCAGACCCCCTTGCCCGAGATTAGCGAGAGTGGCAGTAGCCAGGATGGGGGGAAGGACCAGAAGCGACCAAACAGCAAGAGCGCCTCGGTTAGCAAGGTAAAACGCGTAAAGGGTCTCGGGGCGGAAAAGAGAACGCCCGTGGCAAGTTGGACCACGGTTCGAAGAGGCGGCGGAGGTAGTTCGGCATTTTTGCAGTAGGGGCTGATCTATATCAAACCTCCTAACATGATGTATGGTGCGTGGCCTGTGGTTTTCATGCATCCATGCGCTGCTGTGTTGCTTGCTTGGGTGATCTTAGCGGGTTGAGCTTGGTATTTACAATGACCATCGACTGTGGCCGTACGTGTATGACAGAAGCAGGGCAGGTACTTTATTAAACGGATGTACGCGAACTAGAACAGGTATTAGTGGCAGTTACGTGTGGCTATTGCGTTGGTGTGGCTATTGCGGCATGAGCAGTGTTGGGAGCGACGTGATGTGCTTGGAAAGCGTATCACAATTGAGTTGCGACACTTGAGGCGCTGTTGAGTTTGGTTGACCGGTTATTGAGTCCGCTATTGAGGCGTACGTTTGAGCAACGGTTGAGTCTGGTTGACCCGTTATTGAGTACGATAATGAGGCGTTCGTTTGAGCTACGGTTGAGTTTGGTTGACCGGTTATTGAGTACGATGTTGAGGAGTCCTATTGAGCGAGGGTTCAATTTGGTTGACCCGTAATTGAGTCTGCTATTGAGTCTACATTGAGTCGCCTAATTGAGCATGTAATCTCAATATGACATCTCAACAATTCCGGTCACTTTGTTAAATCTGGGACTCAATAAGGGGGTCAATTACACTCAATATAACTCAATCTAACCCTTTCTGGGAGTGTGTGGGTTGCATGGGGCGAGGGGGCGTGAAGTGGGAATGTGTGCATGTGTGGTGAGCAGGCTGCACGGGGCAAGGGGGTGAGTATGGTGGAAGTGCTTGCATGCGCGCGTGCGTGGATTGCTTGGAGTGAGGGTGCGAGTAGCGGGGGTGCTTGCATGCGTGTGGGGCTACAAGGGACGAGGGGACAAGTAATGTGGGAGTGCTTGCATGCGTGCGGGTCTGAGTAGCATGGGGCGATGGGTTGAGGAATGAGGGAGTGCTTGCATGCATGCGTGTCTGAGTTGCATGGGGCGACGGAGCGAGTAATGTGGGAGTGCTTGCATGCATGCGTGTCTGAGTTGCTTGGGGCGATGGGGCGACTTATGTGGGAGTGCTTGCATGCATGCGTGTCTGAGTTGCACGGGGCGATGGGGCGTGTGAAGCAGGATTGCGTGCATGTGTATGCAGGTCGCACGGGGCAAGGGGGCGAGTACTGTTGGAGGTCCGGCATGTGTTCCTGCCTGGGTTGCACGGGGCAAGGGGCCGAGTACAGCGTGGGTACATGTATGTGTGTCTTGGTGAAATGGGACGATTGGATGTGTCATTTCACCCAGCCTGTTTCAAACAGCGCCTCCCTCTCGGTCTCTTCCACCTTATACAGCCAACTGGCTTCCGACAGCGTAATAATGCCAATGTATTTCCTTAAAGTGGCTGGACGTACTTTTATCCGTGTGCAAGTCGGGCAAGTGACTCCATCCCTGGGAGTCGGGCTGAATCGCACTCGCCTGTGGTGCTATTTGGCGTGGGCCTCCTACGTTGCTTTGTCGCCACATAGCAAGGTATACGACAATTAAAATTCGATAACGTATTCTGGTCCTTTGCGACACGCATGCCAGTCAGTGTAAGACACCGTTGTCATTGCTGGACTGCAAGCAGCCCCTTTAATTCATTATATATATACCATAAGACTTTGTAAATCCTATGTAGAACGCCTTGGTTTGTATGTGGGTGTAGTGGTTGTCGAAAGTACCTTTCGCATTGCGGTGTATTAAGTTTTGGTTTGCAGTTCAATCGTCTGTACCCAAGCTATGGCGTGAATGTGAGTACGTACCGTTCTCTTCTGTAGGCGACCCAACACTGTCGCTGGAGTATAAGGGCAAGTCGTGAGAATGCCGTACTTGAAAAGCGACGTCAGACGTCGTCTTTTTGAAGGGCAAGGTTTGCCGAGTTATGCCAACAGCACAACCAGCTTTGATACTCCTGCAAGTTTAATTTTCTGTTACCTTTCAAAGCTGTGGAAAAGCGAGGCGCGACATCCTTCTCCTACTACCCTTGCACTACTTAAGCCCGGCATCCCCAGGCACCCGTTGTCATCCGCTGTATTTATATGTGCGGAAGATTTGTGCGGTAGTGTGAAGCAGTAACAGCGTCGGCATTGCAGTGTGGTGGTGCCCTGTTTGGTCGGCTAACCATTGAGTCGAAGCATAAACATAACGGGCAACACGTAATGTCTTGCTGTTTTGTCAGGTAGATGATGAGCTTTTGTATAAGGACAAGAAGTATAGTGCTGTACTTAAAGACGACGTGTGAAGTCGTCTTTTGGGATCCTAGTAGACAACTAGCCGGAAATCCAAACAGCCTTGCTATCTTACTACATAACCTTACACTGTCTTAGGGGACAATGGATGCTCTTCCTTTAAGAAAACTGGTCGCGGTTACACGACACTGGCTGTCTTGTTACACAGCGACGGCTCTGTGTCTTGTACCAAATGCAAAAGACATTACAAAAGCCATTCCACCTGCAAACATACATTTCTTGGTGCTGACCTAGCATCGGCATTCTGGCATCCAGGAGCAGCGACCGTATTAGCAATAGTGACTGTGCCTTGCGCCTGGAGCCTTATGGAGAATACTCGGCAGCTAGTTTGCTCTGGCACCTGCACTTGATAGCCAAAGCCCAGGCCCTAATGCACCTGCGCGATGACTGCCGGACAATGTTTGCACAAGCCCTGGACATGTAGCTTGGGACAGGTGGTAAAGATGTGTCCATTCTTATGACAATGGCGACCTTTTGTGCCCAAGCGACTGATGTCTTCCTTCGCCATCACAGGTAAGCTAGAAGCAAGTAGCAGCTCAGGTGGCAACGAATCAGGCGGTAGCAGCTCTGGGGATAGCAGCTCGCGCGGCAGCTGCTCAGGTGGCAGCGGTGCAGACGTCTGTCTCAGGCCTATGTCTTGGGTAGCAGCAGGGTAACTGCCCTGAGCAACAACCGGGACTTGTAAGTGTTTCTTTGCTGGCCCTCCTTCTGGACCGCACTGCCCCCCCCCCCCCCCTCCTCCCCAATCCACTTTCGTACCTGCAGTGCAGGTGCATATGCCGTCTTTGCCATATGCCTTCCTTATCTCTGCCCGCCACCACCCCATTATATTGCTCTCTTTCTCCTTTCCTCACCACGATTGCATGCACGCATGCTGTCCCCGCTGTGAGCCTGCCCTCTACTTGCTTAGCGCGTCCTTCTCTGCCGCCACCCCCGCCGCGGATTGCTCTCCTTCTCTTTCCCCCCGCGCTTTTCCCTTCCTCCCTTTGACGCATGCTGGCCTCCCCTCGTGCTATAGGAAGCGGAGGGCGGGGACAAGGAGAATTTGGCCACTAGCCCGCTAGCAGCCCCCGCATGGAGGTAAGACAACTTCGCAGACAGCTGTTTGTTGTGTATGTCGGCGCTGCATCCGTTCCTGCCGGCCCCAACCCTTCCTGCTGCCCCCATGGCTCAATCCTGCTGCACACTTGCCTCCTCTCTAGCCCGCCCTCTTACCAGCAGTACTGCATGCGCGCGTGCTGTCCCCGCTGCACGTCCACCCTCTACTTGCTTAGCGCGTCCTTCCCTGCCGCCACCCCCGCCGCGGATTGCTCTCCTTCTCTTTCCCCCCGCGCTTTTCCTTTCCTCCCTTTGACGCATGCTGGCCTCCCCTCGTGCTATAGGAAGCGGAGGGCGGGGACAAGGAGAATTTGGCCACTAGCCCGCTAGCAGCCCCCGCATGGAGGTAAGACAACTTCGCAGACAGCTGTTTGTTGTGTATGTCGGCGCTGCATCCGTTCCTGCCGGCCCCAACCCTTCCTGCTGCCCCCATGGCTCAATCCTGCTGCACACTTGCCTCCTCTCTAGCCCGCCCTCTTACCAGCAGTACTGCATGCGCGCGTGCTGTCCCCGCTGCGAGCCTGCCCTCTCCTTGCTTAGCACGTCCTACCCTGCCGCCACCCCCGCCGCGGATTGCTCTCCTTCTCTTTCCCCCCGCGCTTTTCCCTTCCTCCCTTTGACGCATGCTGGCCTCCCCTCGTGCTATAGGAAGCATCGGAGGGCGGGGACAAGGAGAATTTGGCCACTAGCCCGCTAGCAGCCCCCGAATGGAGGTAAGACAACATGTGCAGACAGCTGTTCGTTGTTTAGTTCGGCGCTGCATCCGTTCCTGCCAGCCCCAACCCTTCCTGCTTCCCCCATGGCCCAATCCCACTGCAGACTTGCCTCCTCCCTAGCCCGCCCTCTTACCAGCAGTACTGCATGCGCGCGTGCTGTCCCGGCTGCGAGCCTGCCCTCTCCTTGTTTAGCGCGTCCTACCCTGCCGCCACCCCCGCCGCGGATTGCTCTCCTTCTCCTTCTCCCGCGCCTTTCCCTTACTCCCTTTGACGCATGCAGGCTTCTCCTCGTGCTGTAGGAAGCATCGGAGGGCGGAGCCAGCCCCAACCCTACCCTCCTGCACACTTGCCTCCTCCCTAGCCCGCCCTCATCAAGATATGCAGACAGTTGCACAACAGCCT